TGGAATGGGGTCGAGAAACCCTACAACGGAATAGTCTCAAAAAGTATCCAGAGTTAAGGCCTAGGCAGAGAAGCACGTACAGAATATCACTGATTCCAAGTCCAGGATCACTTTTGTGGTAACGCGTACGGGGATCCGCAGCCTAACCGCACGAGCGTCAGCAGCCAAACCACACACTCATCATCGACACCGACAACAACAACCCTTGAACAAAAACCAGGGCAGGCGTACCAAGAAGTACGATGACGTTGGGGTCGACAAGCCGTATCTCCTCGAGGAGAAACGGCAGGTAGAAGTCCACCTCCTCGGGGGTAGGCGTTCTGTTGTCACTCGGTCTCCGCCGCACGATGTTGCTGCGGCGCGAGGGGGACAGGCATACGACAGGCTGAGGGCACCGCAGAATATTGCGCACCAAAGCAACACGGTACGCGTAGCAGACAGGCCTTCGTCCTATACGTAGAAGGTGGTGAAACACTGCGAGCACGGCGTCTATCCGCGTCCTTTCGAAGTTGCAGCCTCACGAGGATCTACATCTCCCTAAATTGACCGCCCCGTTCGGAGATCAACACAAACCGCCCCGAAGAGGAACCCGGCCGCGGCCGAAGCGCCAGCACCCCCACGGTAGTTAGTAGTGAATATGCGCCCGGAATACTAAAGGTACTGCTTGTCAACGCAACGAAGAGCAACTGGCAAAGGTACAGTTTCTCGATCAACACGCAGAGAGACATTCTTCACCGGTTATTATCTGGTACCGAGAGGCGGATTTCATCTACTCGTTCTTGGCCCTTGCGTCCACAGGCCAGGTAGTCTTGGCTCTTGAGTCCACGGTCCAGGTAGAATCCGGTACAAGGTAACATATTTCGTCTTCTCTTTTTACACCCTTCAGTCCGCAGCGAACGAGCGCACCTGACATAGACCTCCCGCTCGGGATCGAAGCCGACCGCTCTCAGCATGTCGTCCAGTAGCTGCCCTGATCGACCGACGAACGGCACCCCGAGCCTGTCTTCCTCCGCGCCCGGCGCTTCCCCGATAAGCATCAGGGACGCCGAGGGGTCCCCGCGAAAAACCACGACCCTTCCCCCGTCCTGCGAAACACCCCAAGCCCGTCGAGTTCTCTATGTGCTGAGGCGTGCAAACCAACCCGTTTGGCAACAACAAAAGCTCCCAATTGGGGGACAACACGGGTACCAAAGGGTTGTTTGAAGCCATCTACTTGGTTTTGGCCGCCAAGGCTGCATGTGATCGCTCGAATGTGAAAGCAATGAGAGACGCAGCGTGGTTGGGGATAGCTGCGGTTTCGCGACTCACTCGAGCGTGCAAGCAAGTCACACCAATGATTGGGACGTCGGCACGCAACCACGCCTTCCGGGCAACATGGACCACACGCGGTTAGAGATGGACTGGCAACAGCAATGGGTGCGGTCAATTGGAACTCGTTCGGGCACCGGAGACTGTGCTAGTGAGGTCTGATCATCGAGCAGAGGAAACCGATTAAGGGAGAGAGACAGAGACAGAGACAAGAGACAGAGAGAGAGACAGAGAGAGAGAGAGAGAGAGAGAGAGAGAGAGAGAGAGAGAGAGAGAGAGAGAGAGAGAGAG